CGACGACCAAACGAACCGTTGGGAACGAAATACTTATTGTTGGAGAATTAAAATTTCATTGTAATAAGGCTCATTTGCTAAGTGACCCTGTCTCCGAAACTTATCGAAGCTAACGAGGTCATTGCACCCATCAAGTCGTACGCAATATCAATTACCAAATTAACTGTTTCAAAAAATACCAATTTAGGGGGTATAACTACGTACTTAACCCACATTCAGTTCTAGAAAGAACTGGTGTCTTCCAAAAATGTCCAATCGTCTGGAAATATCATTTCGCTGGCGTCCTCGTTGTTCTGTCTTTTACAATATCCTTCTAACTCTTTGAGAAATACGATTTGACAGTGAATGGTTTATTGAATTAAGTACTTGAAGTACTTCAATAAACCATTCTCAAGAAAACCGAATTATGTCGAACGGATCCAAGCCGCTAAGAATGGAGACTGGAAAGATGCCTAAGGATGTACAAAAATAGAATTGGAATACGCGCCGCTTGTCTCAAGTACAGTCACTTGCTGAACACACGGACATACTTGCATACAGTTCTACAATATGCACATTGAAATATGCGAAACTAATTTTAGCACAGATAGTTTGGTCGGGGTGGAAAAGAGAAAAATAATCCAGTACTATTTTGGTTTAGTTCATTAAAATCCACGGTAGTTAAAGGAGTTTTGGAACGAACTGTAACTGCGATTGCAGAGAGGGAAAGTTAAGCAATAAAAGTTATTTGTTTTTGCACAGCAAGCAAGTAAGTAGATACCTACGCAGCTACTTTAATAATCTAAGGAGTCAAGTGGTAGTATTTTTGCGAACCTAGTAAAGTGTTTTGGCTACATTATTGGGACAATTTGAAAAGTTTCTTGAAGCACTCGGGTACGCTCGTCTTCTTTTATGTTGTAATGTGAACCCTGAATGTTTTCCTCCGTTATAGAAACAATGTATACTTTTAAGGTTTACTTACAAGTTTATTTCTAGTTTGGTTAACCTGAACTTTTAATTACTTAAAAGTTTTTCTAGCTTTTTGTATAGAGAGTGGTCAAAGGATTCCAAGTCTATTGCAAACGAAACAAAGTCGTTGTTAGATTGAATTAATTCAGTAGGAAATGCTTTTTCTAATAAAAGCCGGCAATGAATTCAATTTATATCTACTATTACTGGATTGCAACCCAATCAATGCACATCCCAAGATAAATGATATGACCAATTTACGTGATGTCGGTTTTATTAATATATTTTTGTAATATGTTTGTGGTTCAACTTGTTGAACCGTTATTATTGATCTGTTTTAATGAAGCCATTAGGTAAATGTGTATTAAAAGAACAAAGAAAAAGGACTTCTGCAGACCTTTATCTAATAAACATTTTCCTTTTAAAATAATATCTGATTCAATGTATTAAAAAAAAATGTGGTCATATTTATAATGTGAACTTTTTACTTTTTACAATCCGAGTAAGTAGATAATGTCTCTTTGCATGTATTTTCATACGTAGTAAAAGTAGTCTTTAATCTTATACTTTTTTTATGGCATAAGCCGGTAAGCGACCAGACGGATCACCTGATGGTAAGCAATCGGCGTCGCCCATGGACACCTGGAACACTAGAGGCGTTACAAGTGCGTTACCGGCCTTTTGGGGATTAGGAGTTTGAGGATCGTTGGGGATTCAATTTGGGAGATTGGGCAATTGGGGAGATTGGGGAAAGGGAGTGTAATTGGGCCTATTATATGAAACTAAAGAGTTTGTTTGTTTTTTGGACGCGCTAATCACAGGATATATTTGGACCGATTTGAAAAATTGTTTTTGTGTTGGATAGCCCATTTATCGAGGAAGGTTATAGGCTATAAAACATCTAGTACGATCAATAGAAGTCGAGCAGAGCGGGTAAAACCGCGTGAAAGCTAGTTAGCCAGTAAGTAATAAACAAAATGTCAAGAAGGAAAGGTATGAAAAATAAATCTGAGAGGTTAGTAGACATGATTTGAGCACCTAATGCGGGAGAGGGCAGCCACATTGAAGTTGATTGATGATGGTCGATGGTAAAACTAAAAGACTAACTCCCAATAGCAACGTACTTTTGTGGTAAAATAAAAATTCAGAATCTCTCTCTCAAAATAATTCGTATATTGAAATGAAATTGTTACTATGTTTACACAAATGTCAATATTTATGTATCAATGCAAAACTGAAGTGAAAATATAAATATGTAAAGTTTTTTAAAATATATTTTCTCACATATGTACTATGTGCTAGCAAATTATTTTCAGACATTTAAGATTTTTCTTTTAGATAAAGCCACGGAATTTCTAGTCAGAAATACAAAATATAGTTTGGTTGAACCCAAACTTTATGATTGAACTGTTTCAGATTCGTAATCCTTGCTAATGATGAAGAATGTTTAATTTTTTACTGGGGTTACTATAAAACGAACTCGGCGTTTATTACTTAAACATTAATAACAGCGTAGGTATGCAGTTTGCAGAGTACGAACAAAAACACTCAGTTTAACTGGTTTGCTCAAAATTTCAGCTCGGCCAGTCTTAAGATTCAAAACTAGTGAAAAGTGGTTATTCCACTTCAGAACAATAATATGAATCTTTAATGATCTGCTTATTGCCCAACTACACTCCGAAAACTAAAGGCGTGGTGGTACACGTAAGTAAAAATAACAATTTAATTTCTGTGCTCATTAATGTCACTCAGTTTAAAAAATCAACATCATTACTTGTTTCTTGTACAACTGCATGCTTCAGTTTAAATGTAGATTAATTGATACGCATAGTTGAACATAAGAATAATATAAAAGATCTACTAAAATAACTTGGTAAGACCACTAGTGGACCTACTCAGGCTCGAACACCGCACACCTGCATTAAAACCGGTTCGTATAAACATGATTTCACTCTCTCGGCACCACCGGCGTTGCCTAATTTACGCATTCAACTTTGAGTCCGCTACGAATATTTCTTTCTCTATTCCGAGCAGAAAATTGTCGACATTCAAAACAGAAATTACATTTTTTTAGTTAAAATTTTTGGCTGTGTTACTGACAATGTACAGCCGGTGTTTTAAGTTATTGAGCTATGTACTTCTTTTTTATGAGTAAAACGTAAGTCGTGGATTTCAAACGAATTCATTTTACCTATCTTATTTATTTTCCTCTTTGTATATATTTTTTATTACAGACATAAGTAATCTTACATAATTATACATAAAAAGACTTATTAAAACCCATTTTATTAAAAATCCCAAAAGTAATTGGTTCAGTTACTGCTAGGGATTCATTCTTTTGATATCAAACTGTTCTGCCATGTTATGAATTCTATGTAAAAAACGGCACAAACTTGAAATACATTTTCAGATTTAACCTTCAAGCGGGCGCGCGTAGTCGAATCGACCGCGGTTAATACATTTTCGTTCGTATTTTTATTTTTAGTTGCCACATGCATTTCTAATTTCTAGTAGCCTGTCACTATCTTTTTAGGAGTAAAATAAAAACTGTTCCGTTGCTTGAAGCGCTCTCTCCACTCCACAAATTACAATTGTTTAGGCTCTGGCGCAGTCGTTGAAAAGACTACACGCGCCTGTCGTCGAATAGGTTACACGCGACGCTCAACGCGACATACACATGTCAATATTATCTAATTCAGCTTGGAGTTTTGGTGTTTTAAAGCGTTTTTTGTTTAAATAAGTAAGTCGTTTATGGTTATCGCAAAGTGCAGTAATCGAGGAATTACAAAGAGAAGACGAAGAAGAGAGTGAATCAGAGCTTAGCAACCAAGGCTCTGAAACTTCTCATCACATAGTTTTAGAAGAACATCTATCTGATGTGATATCATCCTTGTCGGATTTAGATGAGAATAATTTGTAGCTTACGGAAATAAATAGCTGTTTTACAGGACGCGATAAAGTTACTAAGTAGCAAAATCTGAAAAATTACTAGAATACTGACTTAGACGAAAATAAAATCAAAATTAATGAGTTTTTATCCTTACTTTTTATTTATTTTATGGTCTACGTATATAAACCAACCTAACATATGTAAACGGGTCTTAATTTTTATTTTGATCCGAAGAATATTTGAGATACTTTAGGTGACTTAATAATTGCTTCTTTTTCATAATTTTAATTACTTGTTCTGACAAATTTCTCTTTAAAGATAATGATATTGTATCTTAGTACAAATTAATAAATGATTATCCCATAGTTATTGCTTTCTTGGTCTTATTCATCCCATAGGTCTATTCGGTTACGCGCGCCCGCTCCCGTTACAAAAGACCGCGCGCCCGCTTGAAGGTTAAAGAAGCATTTTTGATTTAACTTTATGACCGTAATAAAAAAGCAGTACGAATTAGAAAAAAACAACATGCCGGCCGGATTATGTTTCTGCAAAAAATGGATATTTTTTTTTGTTTACAGGACCTGGTTCCTTTTGTTACTGACAGAATAATACCAGGTTTTCCAATTGAAGCTAACAAAATACGGACCTACTTACTATACTTAGTTTTAAAAATTTTAACAGTTTCTAAAATTCTAGCAAACCATCATCACAGATTGCATTGTACATTATAACGGAAGGATACCGCATTGCGCGTGCCATTTTATTTTGAATTACGCTTTGCAAAATTAAGTGTCAACTAGTTGTAGAACAAAATCTAACCACGTATTATTACTGCAGCTACTCGTAATTAACAAAGTGGTATACTGAGAGTGGCACACAAAGTGCGGTCTTGCAGCATTGCATAAATCTAAACATTAGTGTCCGTCTTGAGGAGGCTACAGCGTGTACAATGGTTTATCTTACCCCACGTAGTTAAACCAGACTCCCCAGCACACGGTATAAAGAGTCAACAAACGCACACATAGGTGATTGTACTACTTATAGTCACACCTTAGCACACAAGCAGACTGTGCCTCGAGCCTTGCTTGTTGATACAGCGACGCAGCGTCGGCGGCGTGCTGAGCTAAGGTGACTCAGAAAGTAAGTAGGTAGCTCCGCTTACCTGTACAAATCAGCAGCAAAGTAAATGGTGAAAGCAGCCGATTGGTCCCCATGTTGGCAGTCCGGATACTTTCTATCAATTATACACTCCAAACAAATCTTATGCGCCCATGTTGCACAATTTTAATAAGTGCTTAACTCCAACTTAACTGTTATGCATTGCACACACAAAGTACACGTAAACACTCCCAACTAGCCGGTTGATACACTTTTGTCAGTCCAATTGACTAGAACAGGCAGTTTTCACACTTTTAAACTTGATGCACTTCAAAACATAATTTCATTTTTCAATCCTCAATGTAAACTTTGGCGCGAAATTTCCGTTACTGGCGAGCATGGGCACGTTGTACGCGGGCGACGGTTAGCCCAAGGCTGAATAAATTTCAAATCACAAAGCGGCGCGCGAGACAGAGACGGCACCATGCACTGAGTGAAATAGACAGATAATAAAGTTTGCCTTGTCTTGTCCGGGAATGAAGTGGCAACAAACAACGCGTCGTTTTTAATGCCATCTTGCGAGTTTCTCACTAGATGGCAGTCTTGTCTCATCATAAAAAGTTAAAATACTTTAAAAACTCACAACATGTTTATAAATTGTTATAAACTATTCTCTTATAATTTTTCGAGACAATTAAGTAGATGTTATACCTAACAGAAATACATTTGAAGTACAGAACATTTTATCAAAAAGTGGAAAAGTGAAGTAGTTAGTTGGGTTATCAATAAATTGGGCTACACGTGGAATGAGGTTTTGAGTTCAAATCTCGGACCAGGTATGGCAATAACGATTCATAAGTCATCATATAAGAGAAATAACAACTCATTAATAATATTATTATATAATTTTGTGATATATCATGAATATATTTTAGTAAATAAATGTCTATTAGGATCATTGAATTGTTTCATTCTGTGGGAGTTGTAAGGTGTGAAATACACTCGTCACATATGTTCAGAATTGATATCATGCTTTTCATCATATCAATTCTGAACTGCTCACGCTAATATGTAACTTTAAAATTACTCGTAGATGATGATACTGCAATGGTCACATTGCAGTAGCTATTAATAGCGTAGCAGGTGCGTAGCCAGTACGTAGACGATACATAGCCAGTGCGTAGCACGTGCGCAGCCGGAACGTAGGCAGTGCGTAACCAGTGCGTAGTCGGTACGTAGTTGCTGTGTAGCCGATGTGTAGTTACTGCGTAGCCGGTGCATAGCCAGTCACCAGTGTGTAGTTACTGCGTAGACGGTGCGTAGCCAGTGTGTATTTACTGCGTAGCCGGTGCGTAGTTACTGCATAGCCGGTGCGTAGCCAGTGTGTAGTTACTTCGTAGCCGGTGCATAGCCAGTGTGTAGTTACTGCGTAACCGATGCGTAGCCATTGTGTATTTACTACGTAGGGAAATTTACGATACTATTTTCGAAGCGTATATAGTAATTACGCATACAATGTGTGATGGAATCCATGTATTCCATTGTACATTTTATTTGTATTTATTTTTAATTTAAATGAAATAAAACAAGCAACATTTCGACATCGAAAAAAGAAACAATTCGTAAAAAAATATTTTTACTTTTATAAAAAGGTCTCACAATTTTTGACAGAAAATGAGAACGGACAAGAGGGTTTCTTTTTACACACTCGATATTTTGTTTAATTCTTCACACTGAGCCGGGTCAAGATACCCGTTCTTGTGATCATTCTAGAGACTCTCAACTTTCGTTCATTCTTAATAAACACTTGCAATATCCTTTCTGCCCATTTTAAAAAGCTTTGATCTGGGGCGAGGTTTTATATTGCGATGAAAATTTTGCAATGGACTGCTGAAATTATGACTTGCTTTACGAGTAAAGTAGAAAATGTACCGGTTTTTACGATCGTATGAATGCATGGACTGAACAATTGTCAAGTAAGAGATGAATTATGGTGACGTGTAATCCGGGAGCTTTAGAAAGCCGACGTTTCTAACTCCGCCGCAACAGCATCGATGTCGTATCGCTGATAATTCGCTATTGTCTACATGCATCCTATATTCACTCACAAACTTCTATTGTCAGATATTCATTACATCATTTGATAGATACTGTATGTACCCGGAATATGACTGCCAAAAGCTATTTAACACTACAGCGACGGAATGCTGCTACAATTGAAATCAATCAAATCAATGAAATATTCGACATAGTTTGAGGGTAGCATTAAATACGAAGTTTAAAGATTGTGCTCTGTTATTGAAATTTTTAAGTATATATAATATTATCTTTAAATTTAGATTTTTGCCAGACAGATTTCAATTAAATAAAACCCAAAATCAATTAAATAAAATTTTACAAAATTAACATACGTTACATCCTTATCGAACCTCAAACGTGATATCATAACATTGCAGGTACCTACTAAAACCTATAACAAATAATGTTAATGAAAATAAAAAATACATCCTTATCCTTCGCTACATCATATCCATTCAAAATAATAGCTTTCCTTTATTAACGAGTAATCCCGAAACACAATATGGCCTAGATATTTTTACAAACTGTGGGCTCCAAACCAAACAGTAATATTTGCGGAAATGTGCCAGCATCAAAGGCTTCGCCGACGTACCTATACACACATACTTAGTTAACGAAGTTTATGTGGCTCACAAAAATACCTGCCGTGGGTTACGTACGCTTACCTAACTTTCTACTTACACATTAATTTTCATACCTAATAAATTACGTCGTACAAGTAATTTGCAAACAATATTTAGTTGGTACAAATCGCATCTTTACACCTTTGTCTAGTGGTCGATTATAGAATTGCGCTTGTAGGACCAAGTTGAATACTCGGGTCTATAATATTAGCAGGCCATCTGGAATTGTGCCCAGTGCATGGTAATTATAGTGAAAGACGACAACTTTTTCATGGCACTGACATAGACTACATGTTCATTGGATATATGGCTGTGCTATATAGTTTGGTTCTACCTAACTCATAAAATAAACTAAAGTATTGTACTTACTCAGATACAAACTTAGTATCATACATAAAATATATTCCAGTTTATATGTAAATATTGAAAAGCAGCTGCATCATATGCAAATAAGCGTTTACAAACGTGAAGTTCATTTTAACAAACTTCTTTAAAAAGATGAGGTTCTTACTTGTTTTTTTTCGTAACGTGACGCTTGCTATTATTAGGTGAAAGCATGCTATTCCCCAGTTTTATTACGACTGTAACAGTTGTCGAGCGTTTTACTAAGTCTCGTATATAAGACCCTGAAAAGTTCGAAAATCTTATTTTTTTGAACATATCCGCCACAACTTCCAAAAACCGCTGCTATTCCTGTAAGCCAGGATCTACACTTTCAGTACTTACACTCACAGTAGATACACACATGAAAACACCGAGACACTGAAGTCCGGCGCGTCCCAGGGACCTGAATTACCGTTTTAAGAACTTAATTAATAATACTTTATCCGAATAGTCCTATGTAATTTCATAATCTTCTATACAAATAAAAATGAGTTTCCGTTCGTTAGTCTCGCTAATACTCGATGAACGGCTGAACCGATTTGGATAATATTGGTCTTGAAAAGATTGTGTATGTCCAGGGAAGGTTTAAAAATTTTAGAGGGTACAAAGTTTGCCGGGTCAACGTGTACATAATAATTATTATGTACCATTATCCTCAGACGGGATATGTTCTTTGGGGAACAAACGCTTCTTTTTCGGGGAGTTTGCCATAATGTTCTCACTTGGTAGGCGGCTTAGGCATCATAGTCTAACATCAAAGGCCGGCAACGCACCTGTTACTCCTCTGGTGTTGCGGGTGTCCATGGGCGGCGCTGATTGCTTACCATCAGGTGATCCGTCTGCTCGTTTGCCTCATAATCCATTAAAAAAACAAAATTATTATTTTAATTAGACCAAAGAGGCACTTTCGAACGTCAACAAAAAATTTAAAATCGAAGCTATTTGCTCATTCCAATGTGTAGATTCCTATGGAGAAGAACGAGCAAGAAACTTCATACGTTACTCTTTTTTAATCAGGTTCATAATACAATTCTTTCGTTAAATAGTTTTGTTAGTTCAATTGTCTGAGAACAACAAAATCTAGTCAGAGATCGAATATTAGTATATTATAAACATTTTAGAGAATAGGTAGGTACTGCTGCCCTACGATGACTGCTCACCGTCTTAAGATATTAAACCGAGTAATTTATAGATTGATTTCAACAATTAATTTTTTTCGATACAATTTTATTTTTGAAATTAAAATTTCCATTTTAATAAAATAAAAGCAATTTCTTTAAGTAAAGTCGATCAAAGGGCTAGCTTCAAAGTAAAACAATATTTACTTAAAATTAGACCGTAGCAAAATACTCGAAAGACGACATTTGTGTGCGACCTTTGTTAAATATTATAGACGTTAATAATTTCCTCTATTGCCTTTATTATTATTACTTGATTAACTAAAGAATAGTAAAATGATACGTGTAGGTCTAATAAAAGCATCCCCTAAATGCGGCAACGCTTACTCCCGTTGGCTCAGTTCTAAATAAAATTAAACCATGACAATTTTCCATTTTGCGGTTGATCATCGTCATCACACCCACTGTGTAAGTTGTTTACACAGGTTGTAAACAAAAGCATTCATAGAAATATCGATATATAGAGGTGCTGAAAACTCAAAGTTTTCTTCTTCAATGATATAACAGTCATAATAATTTGACACTCGAAACGCGAAGGGCTCAGCTCAACACTTGAACTCAACACCGGCTCGAAGGTCCAAATTGTCGTAGCTCTGTCGGGTTATTTCAAATTAAAACAGAAGACTGCACAATTAATAGGTTTAATTATTGCATATCAGAATCAAGACCGGCTCGCACCGATACAAAGAAATGCCCGAATGCTATGGCTGGCGTGTGTCGATGAAGAAGAAGCGCGGCGCTCGCGCGGCCGTGGGTTTTTATACCCCGTCCCGCGCGTCGCCGCCTCTATGGTCGATGGCCATACTAATGCGCCGACACATAACATTGGATTTTTTAACGAAACCATTCACGCAATAACTAAACATAATTTTGTGATTGATTTGCACATACCTACACCAAAGTTTTAGACAAATATTCCATGAAATACTGGAGCCACTGACTATGTGGTTGCGGTTTCTGTTTAACGTAGACCCAATTACAGTCATTATGTCCATAATCAAACATACGCAAAATATCGTTTGTCCATTCCCTAAGTTATGTTGTCCCTAATATGTGTCCCTAGTTAGAATGTGACATTCTGATTATTCTATTTCAATTGCGGCAAATAATTGGTTATTAGCTAGAAGTTAGAAAATACTATAACAAGTTTTTTTTATATCACGACGGTGGCAAATTCACGGA